GCCATCCCCAACCTCCCCTGGCCTCAAGCTCCCCCAACTCCAGCAGAGTCATGAGGCAGGCCTTAGCCCTCTCTCCTCCCTGGCATCTCCCTGGGGATTGTCTGGGGAGGTCTCAATACAAAAGAGAAGGGTCTCCCTTTAGAACTAGAATTCACCAGCAATCTCAGTCTTCCCACGGAAGAGACCTCTTGCCCTATCCCCACCCCCAACTTTTTTTTTTTGCAGTTTTTGGCCAGGGCTGGGTTTGAACCCGCCACCTCCGGCATATGGGGCCAGCGCCCTACCCCTTTGAGCTACAGGTGCCGCCCACCCCCATGGTTTTCAAATGGCAGTTCAGAAGGCCACACCAGAAAATGCAGCCCAGGGGAAAGGTGGGGGCCAAGTGACAGGGAATCTGGGCACGAGACAGAGGCAAGGGATGTGTGACACAGGGAGAAAGAGACAGGAACCAAGGAAAGAGCAGGTCTTAGTCATTCTCAGCATATATTTATTGAGTGCTTACTGTGTGCCAGAAGTAAGCCAGGTGCTAGAAACAGCAAAGGGCAGGGAAGAGTTGGGGTCAGCTGCTGAGCTGTCAGCGACACTGTATTGACCCTGGTTGATACAGGGAATGGACAAACCCTTCAGGCACCACTGGGAGGGCCTGGGCTGGGTCCTTGGGCCAGGCCTGCCTAGATATCTTTCCAGCAATGGAAAGGGATTCAGTGAGGCAAGACCATCCCCCTCTGTTCCATCTAGGTAGAGAGGTGCACAGACAACCTCCTCCACACACATGCACACCCTGACATGCCCAGAACACACTTCATACTGAGACACACATACACACACATACAGAGGCACGGCCATGCAGTTTTACAAGGAGGAGGTGTAGAGATGCTGCTTATGTGACCGTGATCCAACTCACCCTGCTCCACATAAACCTGTCAGCATTCAGAGATTATCTTGAGAAGCTTTTTGGCCGAGTCTTACCAAAATGTGGAAGCCATAAAAGACAACCAAACAAGGGAATAATTTCTTAAGGCTTCTGCTTAGAGAGGGGTTGTGAGAAGGGTAGGGAGTGGCACATACAGACTTCACTTTCTTGACTTGGCCATGAATCTGTCCTGGTCAGAGCAGCTAATGTGGGTGTCCTGTTACATGGGCCGGGTAAACAGGGACTGCCTGATTCCCTGTGCTAGCTGCCTTCTTCCAGAGTCCTGACAGTCATGCTACTGGTCAGTGCCTATTAACTGCCGGGTATGCTATTGGGCAGGTGCTTACCTATGTGGTCACTTAGCTGCACTGTGGAAGTATTACTATCTCCATGTTACAGATGAGACACTAAAGCTGGAGACTTGCCTAAGGCCACCAAGACAGCACATGGTGAGGCCCCCAACCTTTGCTCTTCTCTCATGGGGTGCTGGAGCCTCATTCTGAGAAGGGTTGAGGCCTGGGAGCTGCCAGCTGCCCTGGATTAGTCTCAGATCTGCACAGGAGAGTGAAGATGACTGACTGCAGATACCAGGGGGTACAAGTGGTGGCTCCATGCTGGCAAGGAGGCCTGAGCCATGGCAGGCCATCCACATGGAGGAGGCTGCACCTCCTTCTTCATACTCGGGAAGCTCCGTCCTCACCTCAGATCTTGGGGGTAACAGGCTCCCAGAGCCTACTTGTTCACCCTGACCTCCACACCATGGGAGGGACACAGCACATGGATAGGCCCTTAGGGAGTCCTAGGCTCCTGACGCTCATAATCCCATGACTTATATTTGGGGACTATGGGCTACCGCCCTCAAGTTGGTAACTCCCTGCCCCAAGAACTCATCATGTTACCCTTCAGAGGGAGGGGGGCTGCTGCCTTAATAGCCCTGAGAGCCAGCTCTATGGAGAAGCCTCCTTGGAGTTCCTGCAAAGAGCCCTTCACCACAGGATGGCCACAGCTTGTTCCCACCCCCACTCCTGGTCTTATCTGCTCACATTCATATAGGCTGACACGCAATGGCATTAGAAACCCCCCGTGGCTGAATGTGTCTGTGCCACTGTCTGGGACAGTTGTGTACACATTAACCCAATACTGGATATCCCACCATTTTCAGCATCCTTGGGGTCTGGAACAATGTGACACCATCCTCAGACTATACTGCACAGGGCCATGACAAGGAGGGTTGGAGTAGTTCTTTTGACCAGGATGACAAGAGGGGTACAAGAAGGGAACAGAAAGAATACAGAGGGGCCTGAGGCCACACTGTTGGCCCCTGCAAGGGTTGGAGCCTTCCCTGTGTGCCGGCCCAGCAGTGGGAGCTGAATCAGAGGCCTGGTGGGTTTGGAGGAAGCCAACGACAAAGGAATCCCAGCCCCCAGAGCCTAGTGAGGAGCAGGGCTCTGGACACGGCTCCTGAGGCTGGCCCAGCTGCCTTCTTCACCCTGACTAAAGCACAGGGCCAGGAACCTCCTGCTTCTTTCCATCAGGAGCCTGGAGGACAAGCCTGGAGAGGACAGGAGGGGCATGGCCACTGGGTACAACTCCCTTTGATCAGCTGTGGTCCCTCCCCCACTTTAGAGTACTCCTCTTGGGGTCTGGAGTAGATTGCTCCCCTAAGTACCCATCAGCCTCCAGGGCCAACATGACTCTACTGAGTCCACCACCTCCTCTGAGGAAGCCTTTGGCTCCAAGAAACAGAGACCACGGCCTGGGCTGGCTCCCCTTCCTCATGCTGTTGCCTCCCTGCCGCAGAGGCCTGGTGGCCCCTGGAGCTGCTGCTGCAAATGGAATGTCTCTGTTGTCTAGAAGGCCTGGTTCTAAGCTTGAGCAAGTTATTCAACCTGTCTGGCCCTCAATCTTTCAGCTATAAAATAAAGATGATAGTATCTATTTAACTCCTAGATTGTTATCATGATTCACTGATAACAGAGAAATGAGGAACCTACCTACTCTGTACAAAGTCAAAGAACGACGGGCCCCTGACTAGGTGTAGGTGGTACCCAACCCCTCTGGCTAGCCACAACCTCTGCACCCTGCAACTATTTCTATGCTCAAATCTCCAACAACTGTTGGCCATGAGCTTTCTACCCTCATTTCTAGTCACTTAGTGCCTACTTCTTCCCAAAAGGTGCCACACCTTGTGGGAAGGTGGGAAGAGGCAGCTGCTCCCATTTTGGCTGGGCCTGGGCACCTCTTGGGACAGCATAGGCTGTATCTGCCCAATCTCAACACTGGGAAGCTGGAAGGGCCCTTGCTGATTGGTTTCCCCAGTCTTCACTCTACCATGGTGGGGCTCAGTCTTTGGGAGGCACCAGAATAACCAGTCTGGGGCAAGACCCAGAATCTGCATCCATCTTTACCCAGTACCCTAGGAGCTCCTCTGATGGCTCTGGTTGTCAGACTGTTCCTCAGCAGGAAACCTGCCATACTCTTAGCCACAAAAGTTCATGATTATGCAGAAAGTGCTGTGAGTGCTTCATTGTAGCAGGCTGGACTTTAAGCCAGCTTTTCCTGAATTTGTCTATAGAACTTTAAAAAAAAATTAGAATAACCATTAACTTATAGACTGAGTCTTCTCAGGAGTGGTTTGGGAAATGTTGATCTGGTTCCTTTTTTTGTTGGGGGGGGCTTGATTTATTTAATATCTGAGTGAACTGAGGCATTGGAGATCAGATGTATTGAGGTGCTGCAGTGTTAATGCAGAGGTTGAATTTGGGCCTGATTTGCCCACCTGTTCTCCTTCATTCACCCCACGTACCCTGACTCTGCTCTAAGCCTGCGGCTCTCCTGGGCTCACCTTATGTCCTGAATTCAGAAGAAACCCTCAAGTTTGTGGTAGGGAATGGAAAGGGGTCTGCACTGGCCTATATGGCTGGGGCAAACAGCAGAGGATGGAGGGCCCACACTTCTAAGATATCTGTACAAGCCCCATTTCTTTGGGGGAGGGGAGTAAGGTCTTTTCTTGGCCCACTGCCCCTCCCAAGACAGCAGTCCCCCAGAGAAAGGGTGAGTAGCTGGTCAGAGGCAGAGAATCCTGTCTTTTCTTTTCAAGGTCAAAACAGGCACATGCAGCCATTAACTAATATGCTAGAAGGGGGCATCCCTTTTCCAGGAGGAAAATGAATTTATTGCTTTATAAAAAGAAGTCTGATAAAACTTAAAATGAGGAAAAAAAAAAAAAACTAAAAACCTAAAAATCAACTCACCCCTCTCACCACTCCCAGGAGGTCTCAGACACATTTCTGGAGGCAGTCAAGGTGGGTGGTGAGCCAGGCGCGCCTGGCCTCTCCCATGTAAACAGCGCCCAGGGTCTGGCGGAGTCTGCCAGCAGGGGGCGCTGTGGCCCTGCCGCCTTACAGGGCTCCTGGCTGCCAGCCAGGCTGGCTCTTGGATGGCGCAGGCTGGGGTGCAGGCCTGGCTGGCTCCTGGTCTGGCGGGTGAGTGGGGATAGAGCAGACCCCAGAGCCCACCCACACCCCGTCTCACACACACCACATGCACATACACACCCCTGGTCTGTCACAAGTCCACTTCCTGCCCCAGGCCTTCATGTCTGTGAGCCACAGCTTTACTTCCACCCCCACAGAAATTGCTGTGTGTATGTGGGGGTGCCCTGGTGGTGGCCTTTGAATTCCCTTTGAGTGGCAGACAGGCCTGAGGATGGCAGTGGAAACGTGCTGCCTTCGTAGGCCCTGAGGGAGGAGGCCAGGGACCTCCAGTCAGCCTTGTGCACAGCTCCTGAGGCTTTGGTTGACCACCTGGCCCTCCATCTTCTCCCCAGGCTG